GAAACATCTGTAAAACAAAATTGTATGTATCTGGAGTATCTTGGTGCTCAAATGGCCTCACATTCATTTCGGGCTTCTTTGGGTCGAATGGATAATGTTCAATGTCCAAGTGATTCCATGAGGGGATACTTGGTGGATTTAGAGACATTGCATGCCATGACATTTCCAAAAGCTGATGTGGCAGGGTTGGACAAAGTTAACCAAACAAGATTCGATTTTGGATTCAGTAACAAAAGGCTTTTGTTTGCAGCAAATTGGACCATGGAACAGGCTACTGAAAGTGACCTTAAGTTGTATCTTCTATGGTTCGGGTGGTTAGGTGATCATTTAAACAGACATTGTTCATTCTTTTCTTCTTTCCTGAAACTTCTGGAAAAAGAATTGGATCATTCTATTTGGACCTGCATTAGAACATCTCATGGAGCACAATCATCACCAATGCTTTCACTGGATTTTGGAAAATCAACTCCATCAGAATCAGAGTCTAATAGCCGAAATCTTACTAATGCGGTGAAGTGTGTTGGGTTGTTTGAGGGTTAGTTATCAACAGTGGCATAATGAGAGTGAGTTTAAGTATAGTGAACAAACTCGGTGTTTCATTCCTGTCTTACAATCTTTAAAAAGGCTTGAAGAAAGAATTCTTGATATGCTTGTTGGGTCTCCTTTCTTTGATGTGGTTTTTGTACTTTATAAAGAGCTCATTAATGATCACTTATCTGCTTGGAATGGGTTAGTTTCGTCTCAGTATGACTGCATGTTAATTTCATGGAGGTCTTTGGTGAAAGATGCTAAAAAGCTGAAGGAGTTTTGTGCAAATGAAGTGGAAAATTTTCTGGTACTCTTTCTTAATCTAAAAACCACTTCACCCTTAATCTTCTTATTCACATTTGTCTAAGTATGGACTTAAAATATTGTGTAGGATGAAATGAAGAACTTGGAAAGAGTTCTTTCTTGGTCTTTGAGTTCACAGAGGTCATTGCTGTGGGCATATGGTGGTCATCCGTCTTCACCTTCTTCTGTTGAGATATATAGAAAGCAACAACAGCTTGTCAATCTTTGTCATTCAATTTGGACAAAAAACATCAACTTGCAGGAATCAGGTACATCTTAATTTTTTTCTTGTAATTGCTACAAGTCTATTCTACTCATTATTGTTATTTATTCTGCATTTGTTTTTGTAGCCCATAAAGGCTATATTGAGGCTGCTGTTGCTACCAATCCTGAACTACGCTTTCTTGCCATGCAAGGTAAAGTATTAACACTTTTTGGTTGTTAATTTCTTACTTATTGTATGCTACATAATGTAGCAATCTATCTAGAAGCATTTGTACATTCATCATGAACTATTATTTTTTCTGTATGAAGGTGTTTGCATGTCTGCATTTATCATGAGCAAAGTAGATGAAGACGACCATGATGTTTTAAATCAGTTGGAGGAGATGTATCAGGTATTATCATGCATGAAATTTCTATTTCTTTCCTTCTGTATACGAAGATTTGAAACGATAAAAAGTGGAAGCTTATGTTAATTTTGCAGGTTCTTTCGAGTAAGTTCCATTACGAAAAGGACAAGTTGGAAAGGAATGCTGGGACTAATGACATAGCTTCTCTTTTTGGTGCTCTATCTAGTTGTTGCACAATGAACCCTGACATGTTATGCCTACCTTCTGGCTTCAACTGTTGGCTTGATACTCTGCCTTTAAATGATAACAATAGTTTTGGTCTTGATATGAGGCTTCTTCAAGAGCTTTCCAATATCATCACTCTTGATGGGAAGGAACTGGAATCCGTAAGATTCAATGCCATCTTTTATTGCTAGTATCTTCTTGCAGTGTTTATGTATCCATTCAATATTTACCTTCTTACCCTTGGTCCTCTTCAGTGTGAGCTCATTTTTTTCTTATGGGACTTGGGTATTGTTGCTGTTGTATCAGATAAATGGCTTTTGTGTTTGTTAGTGAATGTATCATACTTTCGATTTACATTTACTATCAATAACATGACCATTACTTTGTTTTCTAGGGTTTGTCTCGTTTACGCTGGCTTCTAGAATCTACCTTGAAGTTTTCACTAAACTCTTCTTCAAGGCCTCCAACCGATTTCTCTCCTTATCAAAAAATCTCATGGGTTCTTGAAGCTTGGACCTCTGTCAATAATGGTCAGTGCAACTTTCTCCCTTCAGAGGCGATTTCAATTCCCCTTAAAATACCTAAATGTATATGCTTATAAATCTTTTTACAGCACATGCAAGCATTTCTAGTACTGTTCTTGAAATGTGGTTTAATTGGCACACATCTTTGTGGAAGCATCACTCGAATCATGAGAAGGTATGCATTGTAGTTTATAAATAAAAAAGGGTGATTTAGTAATTTGTGCAGAAAGTTACTTTTTTTGTTGTACTTTGTTGTCTATGTGATGCAGAAAAATTCAAGCCAACATGGCAATGCAGATTTGGTACCTGATATGCTTTTTCAGCCTGTGGCAACACTGGCTCTAGACAAGATTCTGTAAGGAGTTCTATACAAAGATTGTGTAGAGTTGTTAGTCTCAGTTGGTAGTTCTTTCTGGTTATCACATTTAATTTGTTAATTTTTTTTTATGAAGGGGGAATCCAATTGGCATCAAGGATCTTAATGCACATAGCTTGAAACTTGGAGTGGCTTCCTGTAATCTTTGGCTAAGTTCTCCACATGTTGCTGATTCCCGTAGTTTCTTTCTGTCATCTGCTAGATCTCTCTTTCAGCAGGTATATATTTTATTAAGAAGTTTCATATTGTTTACAGGAGCTCCCACTTTATTTATTTATTTTTTTTGTGTGTTTTCATCCAGATAATACTTGCCCACGAGAAGTCCTTTGAAGCTGATAAATATTCCTTGATCAAATCTATATTCTTTTCAGCTCAGGTAAATTTTCTTATGGTAAAAAATATTTTTATCTGAAAACAAAAGTCAACCGTATATTCTTCACATTTTCTTCTTCTATAACAGCAAACGGATGTGCGTGTGATTATATCTCTTCTAGAATCATCAAACCACCATGTTTTGAAGTCCTTAATAAGTCCATTTATCAAGCCATTGCTTCATGCGCTATATGTCAAGAATTCTACAGGTAAATAGATAATAATTAATTGATTTGTGCTCTATTATATTAGTCCATTACTTAACCATTTTTTTGTGTGTGTAGATTCCTTGTTTGATCTTGGGTGTGCTTGGCTACGTATTGGGGGTTTACGTTATCATCTTCTACTATGCTGTGATGATGTGGATCCAGCTGTCAAGAAAAATTTGAAATATTTTCAACTGACAGAGAGGATTGCATCACTTGAACTTGATATAGAAGTACTTTTTTTTTCTTGCATAACTTAATATGATATTAGTCATTTTATTTTCAGATATTTTACAATGTTCAACTTCATACAGGTGCGTAAGGAGTGTGTCCAGCTGGCAGGATGTTTCTCTTTGAGCGAGGCTGACAAGGAAAGAACAGAATTACTAAACGATCTAAAAGCTGAAAGAAACAGACTCCAAAAACAGGTAATGTTTAGTTGTTTTTCAAAATTTTCTCCATCTGTATATAAATATGCTCATACATTTGCATGATGTGGTGCTTTTTTATCTTCAGGTTGTGTTTCGATCTGATCCTAGGAAATTTAAGAAGCTGAGATCCGAATGTGATGAATTTATGAAATTGGTCGCAACACCATTTGATCTTTTAAAGAACATTGGGAATTTGAGTATGCAACGGGTTGCTGACCAAGTGCATAATTGGCAGGTATTGATGACTTATCTGAATGTAATTTACTTGTAAAGGTGAATCAACATCCACCACTATGGAATTTTTCTTATGTATATGTCAATCTCCTATTTTTTGTAGGAAACTGCAACACGTTTTGTGGATCGATTATCCAATGAATACTCGGAGTATGTTGATATTGTTCAACCTGTTCAGATTGCAATATATGAGATGAAATTAGGCTTATCATTGGTTCTTTCAAACAGCCTAAGTGATCAGTTTTTGGATAGAGTTGGCCAGAAAGATATTGATGTTGTTTTGGTAATATATAAATCTTTTATCACATTTGTCAAAACAATATTATTGACATAATTGGTCTTTTGATTCTTGATACTGACTTCATGAATGTCAGGGGGCAATTTATTCGTTTATGAGGTTCCCTAGGGGCATATCTGGAAAAGTTGATTCTTGTGTAGACGACAGTTTCCATGCCAAGCTTTCATCCTTTGATAAAGCCTTCCCTACTTACATTGGGGAAGCTGACATGGCCATGGTGGAAACCTTGGTTACTTCTGCTAAAGACAATAATAGTGATGAAGTGGTCTGTTAATGTCTTTTATTATATACATCTTACAGTAGTATAATGTACAATCTAATTTATTTTTTCCATGGAATCTAAAATGACAAATGCATGTTTCATGTTGTAACAGGCATCTGCTTTGAAACTAAAAGCTTCAATTCATCAAAATATTCTTCATCGCGTGTTGCATTATGTTGCCCAAGCCCATTTTCTTGATGATGTATCTTTTAAGGTAATAATTTCTTGTTGATGGAGTGTAAATATTTTAAAGAACTCTTACATTAGGACATGTGCAACATTCTTGTGTACTTACTATTTTATGTTTCTCAACATCAGCTCATGGATAGGATGTTTGATGAATTTGCAAATCTCTGGATGAAAATGAAGATTCAAGTTAGAACCAAAGAAGAGCTTGATTCAAAACAGTACATATTTAGACCTCGTGCTTTTGACATTAAAAATGTCATTGAAATGGACGTATCTACCCTCGAAAGTTCGATTGCCAATGAAGCTTTCTCAGAGTGGCAGGAGTTGGCTTCAGAAGAAGCATCTGTTGAAAGTGAAAAGGTATGATTTCTATATGATAGAAGCATTCCCCTTGGTAAAATTTGTTAATTCAGTTGTACTAATGGAAGAAGTTGCTTCTTGTAGAAAAATACTGAAGAAGAGGATGAAATGTTAGAGAAAGATTGGAGTCTACTGCTGGAATCCGCATTGAATGACATGATCAATGTCTATACTACAGTATTTGGCTCGACAGATCTCCTTCAACCTGTCAGTTGACTTATTTGACTTTTTCTTCTGAGTTCTCTTGTATATATTCTTCATGTAGTTCTAATTTTTGTTTCTTTTATTCAGGCTGGATTTGTTCAAGTAGCTGATTCTGATAGGCTAGGTTCTTTCTCGGACTCTTATGCCATGGGTACAAGAGTAATTAAAGGTGATTGTTTTTTCGGATTATAGGGTTTCCTTTTTAAGATACACAATTACAAATCTCATATTTTTATTACTATTTTCAGATATGGAGGGCTTATTATGTTGGAATTTGGACTCCAAGCTTATTCCAGAACATGTACTACGCCTTTCCTTGGAGCATGATCGGAAATCAATGTCATCTCATCTACCGAAAAATTCTTACAATTTCTACAAGGTCTTGTGTTCTATTTCATTTTTTTGTTTGTTAGATTATATGTTTTACTTTTTAGTTGTTAATTAACTTCTCTTGGTGGTGATATAGGATTCAAATGCTTCCATGTTGGCCAAGATGGTGGATCCAGTTATGAATCTTCAAAATCGGATTCGTCATCTTCTAAGCGAATGGGATGATCATCCTGCTCTTCAGAAAATTGTGGATGTGATTGATATGATCTTGTCTATACCTATGAACACCCCTCTTGCTAAGGTCATACACTTTTTTCTTCATTTAACTGATAATCAGGGTTATAAATAATATAATTTAACTTCTACTACATCTTCTCATATATGTGTACATTGTTTTTGTTCTTTTGTAGGCTTTGTCAGCCTTGCAGTTCTTACTTAACAGGGTCCGGAACCTTCAAGAAACTGTTTCAAAGTTTCCCCTTTCTGGTAAATATTTGATTTACTTCTTTTAGATTTACATAAAGAACATATTTATATCATTAATTTCTAATTTTCTATTCAATTTCCGCTACCTTTTGCAATTTGCAGATCAGTTGGATCCGATTATTGGTCTTGTGTCCTCATGGCAAAAATTGGAGTTTGAATCATGGCCTGCTTTACTTGATGAAGTTCAAGCTGGATTTGATACTAATGCTGCCCAGGTAAAATATCTTCATTTTTTGGAAACAATTATGATTTACAAAGATATAAGTAAAAAGACCAAATTGACACTCTTTTTGAATTCCATTTCAGTTATGGTTTCCACTGTACTCGGTTCTTAGGCAAAGTCAGTCTACAGATACTGATGACTATAGTCAATCCACCATTGCGAGGCAAGTGCTTGTAATTTAATAAAAAGTATATATATATTATAAATAAATCAAAAGATTTTTAAACATATCTACTTTTTAATACAGCTTGGACGATTTTATTCGGACTTCCAGCATTGGTGAATTCAGAAAGCGTCTTCAACTTGTCTCTGCTTTCCATGGCCACATCAGCACTGGCATTAGTCAGGGATCAAATTTAAGGTTCTTCTCTCTTTCTGTAAATTTGCTTTATTCTATTATTGTATGTGGTTTTACCTTATGCATTCTTTTATTATACACAGTCGTGGCCATGAGGACAATGTGAGGATTTTGTACAATACATTCGGATTCCACATTCAGTTTCTGCCTATGTAAGTGCACTTCTAACATATTATTATATTATTTAGCTATATGTTATTTATTAAATTATGTTTTGTGTTAAACGATCAATGTTTCATTGTGTTTTAGTATTCTGGAGAGGTTAGCAGATAACAGAAAGAGCATTCAGGTGGAGTTGAGTGAACTCATGAAGCTGTGTAAATGGGAACGTAATGAGTGGTTTATGACAATGGAAACATCAAAACGGACACGTGAGAAATTTAAGAAGTTGATTCAGAAGTATACTGTGAGTGACGATTGTGGATTTTTTGTTATAATTTTTTTTCTTTCTTATTTGTGCATTTTTAAGAATCAATAGCGTGTTTGAAATCACAGGATGTTCTAAAGCAACCTGTGGTGCTTATACTTACACAAGAAGCTGCTCGAAGTGGAATAAAAACAATAGCAGTTCATACTTCTGCTTCATTTAGCGATTCTTTTGAGAAATACAAGCAAGTTCTTGATGTTTCTTGCAATGAAACTCAGTTTAAAAACAAAAAGAGGTTCATATGGCCTTCCACTTGGAGAAATAAAGTGGATCTTGCATTGGGAGATATACGTTTTGCAAAGTGTATTATAAACTCTGACTACCCATGTGTCCCATTGGAGGAAGCTCAAGGTTCATTTCTTCTCTTACACTGTAATTACCCATCTTCACATGTTTTTTTTTGTATTCATGTTTTTGTTTTTGCTTTTGCAGGCAATATAGATATTGTGAGCAAGTTGATAGGTTTAGAATCATTGAGTGGTGTTACTAAGGAAGAGTGGAGACAAGTGAGGCACACATTTAAAAAGATCAGCACAAATCTTGTTTATTGTGGAGAACTTTGGAAGGATGAAAAAAAGAAGAGTTTAGGAAAGAGAAGGGCTCTCTCTGAACTACTAAAGATGTTGGATAGTTTTGGGTTGTCTAAGCATAGATCTACATCCATGGAGGTATCATATCTTCACAAATACTGGCTATTTTTCTAAATGCGTTTTGCTTTTCTAGTTTGGAATAATACTTCCCTTGTCCTTTGTCCATGTTGAAATCTGAGTATTTTATAGGGTTAAATGCAGGAAATAGCAATTTACTTTGATTTATTTGTTTATTACAACATTGTCTTATTAAGAAAGACATTGAAAGTACAATGCTGTATCTGTATCTAATGTTTATTATTCTGGTGGTTGCACAATATAGGATAAAGCATGGTCTCTCCAACCATCATATGTGATTGAGCATTTGCTACTTAATGAAAGTAGATTACCCTCTGAGGACCTTGATGTCAAAGCTTTAGAGAAGGTCCAAAAGCTTCCCATGGATAATAATAATCTAGAAACGGACTGGAAAACACCAAATGAATACTTCTTCAAAAGCATATCTTCCCTAAACCATCTTCGACAAGTCAGCGTAAACTTTCACAAAGATTTTACAACTGAACAGGTAATGTTCGATTCCACTTTGTTAATTAATTTTACTCATATTTTCATTTTAACCACATGAATGATTGTTATTTTGTTTGTAGGTTGGTAGGTCTATTTCTTACCTTGATCATCTTGTTGAGATACAAAAATCTCATAGAGCTGCAGCCTATGACTTCTACAATGGCTTGGATCGCTTAAAGAAGCAAAGTGTTCCACTACAGAATCTTTCCTCAAGCTCATTTTCTCACAATCAGGACATCATTTCCAAATGCATGTGGCGACAAAAGGTTGTTTTTAATTTTTAATTTTTAATTTTTTTTTATCATGCAATGCTTACTATCGAATCTTTATATGAATGATGCTAATATTTGAATTTTACTGTTGCAGCAACTGTTTGATGCTATGTGTGATACGTTAAACGATGAATGCTTGTTGCTAAAGACTGTTGAAAACAACCATCTAAACAATTGCTCAAATGTTAGAGTGGGTGCTGGGCAAATTCGTCTTTTCCTAGAGAAATTTGTTCCTGAGTTCAAGAAATCGAAGGAATTGTTGGATGGTTATCTTTTTGGTGATTGTGGTGGTGTATTAAGCACTGAAGTTGTACTTCATCCTCATGGCATCACCAAGCAAATGGAACAGTTTGTCCAACAAAACCTTTTGTTAGTTAAGGATTTTAAGGAGCAATTAAACGCTATTCGTAAGCAGGATGTGACTTCAGGATTAGCTAAAGATGTTCTTCTTGACCATTTTGAGGAGATCTTCGCCAAGGTATGTTTTGTATTTTTTAGTTATATTGACTTTTTTGGGTACAGTTTAAGTAACATACTTTTTCTGCCACTTTTCAGGGTAACCTGTTAGATGAATACTATAATTCTGCTATGGAAGCAAGGGTTCACATTCAAGATGTCGATGATGTTTCGAAAGCTGAAACTGAGTTCACCGAGTCCCTTAGGAAAACATGCAAACATATTGTTGATGGTTTTGATCGAGTCAACTCGGTGAATAACAATCTTGATTCTACGGAAGATTACTTGGGAAATATCAATACATGGCAAACTTTGTTTGCTTCTAGAGTAGAGAATCTCCAGTTGAACTGCATACATGATGAATTAGTGAAAACACTCGAGTTTGCTGTAAGTGTCTTGTTTCTTTTTTATTCTTAATTTGGATCACATTTTTTCATTTTTTCAAGGCACTAATCTAATTTAATATATTTACCCAGGGACAACTTGTGGACCTCTATGGGAATGGAGAGACGAATGTATGTATTGTTGAGGCACAACTGAAGCATCTATATTCACTATTGGACCTAATGATAACCTTTGGCAATGGTCTTCTTAAGGACTTTATGGTGGCTAACAGAACTGTAAGTTTGATCTTCTATGAGTTTTTTTCTTATTTGGGCATTGCACTTTGAAAAATGTAACAGGGTTGGGCATTTCTATAAATTGGGTTGATAGATAATTCATAGAATAATGTCTTAATAAGAAAGAATTTGAAAGTGTATTGCTATTTCTTGCATATAGGATTTATCCCTTTAAGAAACTATAATGATCGTTTACATTTGGAACAGTTGTCTATGGTTACTCATGCTCTTGCGGAGATTTTTGCTTCATTATACTCCCAAGGTTTTGGAGGCCCCACAGAAACCCAAGAGGAAGAAAATGGTGGTGATGATACAAAAGATACTACTGGAACTGGTATGGGTGAGGGTGCTGGGATTAAAGATGTCAGTGAACAGATAGAAGATGAAGATCAACTACTTGGAACTGAAAAGGTACCTAGTCAATTTCCAAATATGCCCTTACCTTGTCATCTTGTTTCCCTTTTTGTCTGACTTATAATTTCTTTTTATGTTGTTAGGGTGAAGAACTAGATGCCTCGAATGATGATCCAAGTAAAAATGATAAAGGCATAGAAATGGAACAGGATTTCACAGCTGACACATTCAGTGTTAGTGAGGATTCAAGTGATGATGAGAACGATGATGAAAACGAAGAGCCACAGCTGGATTCTGCCATGGGAGAGACTGGAGATGACAGTGAAGTTGTTGATGAGAAGCTTCGTGATAATAAAGATGATGAAGATGTCGAAAATGAAAAGAAGAATGAGAAATATGAAACTGGACCTTCTGTTAAGGACAATGATGAGAGTGGAAGAGAGCTTAGAGCTAAGGAAGATGAGGATGATGATGTCAACAATGGTGATGATGAGCCTGGAGAATTAGATCCTGATGAATCCAACAAAAAGAAGGATGAAAATGACGATAACGTCCCTGATGATACTGATGAGGTTGAAGATATGAATATAGATAAAGACGAAGCATTTTCTGAACCTACAGGTCTAAAACCAGATGAAACTAATGTCAATTCTGATGAAGATATTGACATGGATCAACAAGAGAGAGATGATGATCAGAATGAAGATGGTGAAACGGAAACAGTTGATGAGTCAGATGAGATCAACAATGGTGAAGATGAAAACACAAATTCAGTTGAAGAAAATGCTGACATGGATGCTGAAGAAGAAAACCAAGAAAAGAATGGCGATGCTGACGTGGATGAACAAAAGAAAGATGCCAACAGTACACCTGTCACCACTGATTTTGGCAATGAAATCCAACCAAACGCAGACTCTGCCACTCAGGCAAACGGAGGGTCAAACGGGGCATCCATGGGAGATGTTGCACCAGAAGCCACATGGTTAAACAGCAATGATATGCAAAGTGACATGGCGCCTATACGCGGTTTACCTAACTCTTCAGAAAACGAAGTCACTGTAGCTGATTCTTCAAAAGGCGGGAAACTAAATGATGAACATATAAGTCAACTGCCAGAGGTTGACCCTTCATCTAGTCAAAAAAGTCAACCGAACCCGTTTCGTAACATTGGCGATGCACTTGATGGGTGGAAAGAAAGGGCAAAAGTGTCAATTGACTTGGAAGAAAAGAAGGATGAAGCCATGGATGATGAAAATGCAGATATAGATGCAGACGAATACGGGTTTACTTCCGGGTTGGAAAAAGGATCCGCTCAAGCGCTGGGACCCGCAACCGCAGACCAAATTGATAAAAACATGGATGGAAAAGAACCCAATGATGGAAAAAACACAGATGGGGAGGTTACAGACAAGAAAGATGATTCTGAAATGGAGATCGAAGAAGAACAGCATGTTGATTCAGCTCGACCCATCAAGAATCTTTTAAGCATTGGGAATATTATAAATGAGAAAACACAAGTTGAAGAAACCGAGATTCCAGATGAAACCCTAGAAGTTGATAGCCATGGTGAACATGATGACAGTAGGGAAACAGAGAGTTCGGTGGTTATGAAAAGATCTTATATGACAGAAGGCATAAATCAACTCAGTAAACTTTGTGTTGGAGATGATGATATGGGGATTGCACATGAACTCAAAGATGTTTCTCATGATATGAAAGATTCTGCCACTGCTTTATGGAGAAAATATGAACTGCAGACAACAAGATTGTCACAGGAGTTGGCTGAACAGTTGCGTTTGGTGATGGAACCTACTCTTGCTAGCAAGCTTCAAGGGGATTATAAAACCGGAAAACGAATCAACATGAAAAAGGTATAATAATGATTTTTTTACATTTTTGGTACCTGACTGTAGCTGACTTTTGCAAATGTGGTCCCGTAAGTAAAACGACTATATAGATATTTATTTTGGTGGTTGATATGTTATGACAGGTGATTCCATACATTGCGAGTCATTATAGGAAAGATAAAATATGGTTGAGGCGAACACGACCTAACAAACGAAACTATCAAGTCATGATTGCTGTGGATGATTCCCGCAGCATGTCAGAGAACAACTGTGGGAATGTTGCTATTGAAGCTTTGGTCACTGTTTGTCGTGCCATGTCTCAATTGGAAGTTGGGAATTTAGCAGTTGCAAGTTTTGGGAAAAAGGGAAATATTCAATTGTTACACGACTTTGATCACCCCTTCACTGGTGAATCTGGAGTCAAGGTTCGTTTTTCACTTAATAATCAATCAATATTAGGATATACAACTTATTTAATATTAATATTATTCCATGCTTTGTTGAGTGAATCAGATGCTTTCGAGTCTGACATTCAAGCAAGAGAACACGATAGAGGATGAGCCCATGGCTGATTTACTGAAATACATAAACAACACGTTGGATTCTGCTGTAATGAATGCAAGATTGCCATCTGGACAAAATCCATTAGAGCAGCTTGTTTTGATCATAGCTGATGGCCTTTTCCATGAGAAGGAGAAGCTCAAGCGTTGTGTTAGAGATCTTTTGAGCAAAAAACGAATGGTTGCTTTTCTCATTTTGGATAACAACCCAGCCGAATCAATAACACAAGTTCTGGTAATTAATTATTTAATCACACTCCCTCCCCCCCCTTTTTTTTTTAATATTTACCATTTACACCCCCATGGTATTTTTGCTGGATATGAAAGGTGTGGTATGAGAATTGAATAAGTTGATAAAAAACTATAAAATGGGGGCAAAGTGTCTTTTTTAAAAAGGTTTACACCTTTTTTTATACGTGTCCATTGGAGATATATTTAACTTTCAGGGAAAAAAAGTGAGGAAAATATAAATGAAGGGCAAATTTGTAAAAAGTTGGGATGTAAAATGTAAGATTTATTTTTTCCTTTTTTCAGGAAGCGACATTTGAAGATGGGAAGCTGGAGACAGGTAAATACATGGATTCTTTCCCGTTCCCATATTTTGTCATCTTGAAGGATATCGAAACTCTTCCAAGAACTCTTGCTGATTTATTAAGACAAGTAAGCCATAATTGTTATATAATCTTTTATTTATTTATTTATCTTATAGATTCTCATTTTTGGAAAATTTTATTAACCACCATGTTATCTTACCTACTCAATTGCAGTGGTTTGAGCTTATGCAACATTCGGGAGCTTAAATATTTTGCTTGGAGGGCCCTTGCACTTGAAGTTTCTTTATAGCTTTGTGAAACTTAGAGAAAGAAATGTAGGTATGGTTTTGAAAATGGTGTGGGAAGAAAAACATGCAGAGTTTGTCTTTTAGAAAGACAATTTGTTGTGTTTTAAAGCTTTTCCTCATCTGAAATTTTGTATTCGTTATTATATATATGAAAAGACTACAAGAGCTCTCCATTTTTTAACTTGCTTATATTGTCTACTATATTGCATGCTTTCTAAGTAGGCCCAGGCCCATCCTGATACAATAAAACCCAATCGTTGAAAGATTTTGAAAGCTAACCATTAGTTAACTGAAAATATGATCAGCTAAAGAGCCTAATAAGTTGTATGTTTTTACTAAGAATTGTCAAAGTGGATGCAAAATTTATTTCAAAGATGAAAAATGCAAGTAATGCTTGAACAATCTTTAAACTTTTGAAATCTCATTTGACCCACTTTTATGCTTCATGATGGAAATCCGCGTCATCCATTTATGAAAATCATCAAATAATGTAAGAAACACCTTCAACCCCCAATTGAGGAAACTCTTGATGGACCCAACAATAGACATGCAAGTAATCCGTCGTCTCCCTCCAATCTATGCGCCACTAACTTATCACCATACGGCATAATTCGTAGGTATTCAATAGGTTTAACACGATACCTATGGATTTGCTACGGAAAATACCTTGTAGCATAAATGATCGTGAGAAATTTATACCTGCATATTTTCTACGGAATAGCTATGGCCAATTCCGTAGGTATAATACCTACATATTAGCTATGACACGAATTGCTATGGAATACATAACGTCTTGCTGACGAAACTGTTTTCCTACGGAATAGCTACAGAATCACATGGCTACGAATTTCCTACGGATTACCTACGCGAGTCGAGTTTGACCAAAATTGATTTTTTTTTTCTACGGAATAGCAACGGAACTGTTTACCTACAGATTTCCAATGAATTAACGATGGAATTCAAGTTTGACTAAATTTGACTTTTTTCATACGGAATACCTACGGACCTATTTAGCGACGGATTTCTGTAGCTAATTTCATTTTATCAAAAAATAAAATTTTAAAAATTTATAAATTTCCATTTTTTATCAAATACCATATATCAATTTAATTTGTCCAAAATACACCAAAAATGTCCCTAATATCAACTTTGATATATTCCATTCCATTGTCTCAAAATACCATTCAAATGTCTCAGATACCATACAAATTAAGCATAACAAAACAAGCAAACAGTACAAGTGTTTACAAATTCAGTTGCTCCAAAATACATATCAATTGTCCTCGGGTGGATTATCGGGGGAACCACAGGGTTGATTTCCAGATATATTTTATCATTCTTATAACCATTTCCATTTTGTTCTTCCATTTGTTGTTGTTGTTCCATGATAGAAACTTGTGCACGGAAAATCCTTTCTGTGAAAGGACTAAGCATATTGAAGTTGATATTCATGACATAATTTCAGATGGAGTGGTAAAGGTGGTAAAAGTTGATTAAGATGATCAAGTGACTAGTATATTGCTCAAGTCACTTGGAATTAATCAACATAATTTCTTTTGTAATAAACTAAATTTACATAATCCTTTTCAAGTATAGGTTGAGGGAAGGTGTTAAAAATATACAATTTTCTTTAATATCAACTTATCATGTTCCGATACAGACCAAAAGCATAAACAGTATAAAATAGACCTTACAATAGTTATTTATAACTACTGATCTATAATCCAAAATCTCTCGTTAAGTCCACCAACTTATACTCTTGTGCCATTACCTGTAATGCAAAGAAAATTGAGTGGGTTAGTGTCACACCCTCGAACCAGACGGCGGAAACGTCCGAGGGCTATTGTGACTTAATTGAATACCATTACAATGAATATACATGAATCATAACATCATTCACCACCATGCATTGAAATATCACAACCGATATTGTTTACATTCAGTACATTGTCTAAAGCATTCAATTTTCCAAAACATAAACCGTTCGATACTAATTAAACAAACATTATGACATCAACATTTTGCTTCGATTTACCTGTTACATGAGAATACAAGTATTTTGGAAAAACGTCAACATATGAAATGTTGGTGAGTTCATAAGTATGGTTTGAAAAGAAATGATTTGTATAATTTTGAAAACCACAGAAAATTCGATATTTTCTAAAAAAAAGTGTTGTATATAAGAAAAAGTGTGAAGATCCGTAAGTATGCTTGTTGATTATTATAAACGTGAATAATTTTTAGACTTTGTATATATCACATAGTTAAGAGTGTTGAATTCCCCAGGGAAAACCCGATGTTTTCCCCAATACATCAAATTACGTGGCTTAGTTAGTATTATCCCGATACGACGTTGTTTTCTATAATTCCAGGTGACATTGGATTAATTATGCGTTGTGAGTCGTTATAATCACACATTAATGAAAATGACTAGTTTACAACTATACAAACGATCCCTTAGGCGTCGTCCGTACTACTCACTTAATCCAACCACCCTGACTTCTCATAGCCCCACAACCGAGGAGAAAAGAGGGTGCAAAGCCCCCGTTATTTCCATAAGTCGTTCAAGGCTATCGTGAATGCGAAAGGCACTTGGCCCGACTCGCATTTAACTTCTCGACTTTGCTAGCAGTACCAAAGGACCCTTGGGGCCCAACAACACAATAAAGCTATTGAAAGTCCTTTTACACGGAATTAGGTCATTTATGGCCCAATAACATGTAAGCGCGTTCCCTTCGGGCCTAAAGATCATGTCATTGGGCTAGCTAGGCACAACAAGCACGATTTGAAACTTTCGACCCCAAAGATGGTGTATTGACTTCTCGTAAATTTCCGCGTGTGTATTGAAGTATCATTGATTATTGATTTTTAATTCGTTATTGATTCGAGACCGAATCAATTCGTTTGGTAACGATTTTGGTGTTGAAGGTGTATTTATTATTACGTTTCGCCGGTAGACGTAATACTCGTATTTTTATTTTAAGGGGTCTATTGTTTTAAGAATGTGAGTTTATCTTCTTAAGCCCTTTTCTCGGATAAAATTTACACTTTTAACCCTTTGTGTATAAAAGAATTTCCGGTTTAGTCCGTAAACTATTTTTCTTGACACTTTAGTATCAAAACTTATTGGAAAGACATTCTTAGCACAAATTTACTTGATAACAGCTTAAGTCCTTCAAAAATGAAATTTTCTCAGTTGAAACCTCCATTTTCACAACTTTTACAATTTTGACCCAAAATGGAAAATCTTTGCATCTTTGGTCCCTTTTTAATTTGAAAAGCATTTTTGATCCTTGAAATAGATTTGGTACACTAGTAATCCTCTGTTTTACATAAATGTGCAGTTTCAACCCCTCCAAATCAAAATTCTCGCAATTTGGGGCTTTATTGGGCCGAAAGGTCCATTTTGGCCCATTATGTTTAAAATTCACATTTTTAACCCTTCAAAAGTGTTAATATTCAGAAAATACATATTAGAAACTGTTTAGACTCATCTCAACCTTCGGAATTTATATTTTGTCGTTTTGGCCCCCTTAGTTTTGTATTTTTAGCATTTTGAGCCCAAAAATGGGTTTTTAAGTCCAAAAATGTTCATATTAACCAACTAGATTATTTTTCTAGACTTGATTAGTGTGAAATGGTATAAGTTATACTTATTTCATTCTTCATATAGTAGATCTCGGTTTTTAGGTTCATGTGGCTAGTTTAAACATCACAATCACACAAGATCATACATATAAGCATAAAAATCACACAAGGCATACATATACTCATAGATCTACACATTTGCTTGTATTCTCCCCTGTAAAACTTATAAAAATCGAAAAAGAGGGGGTATGAAGCTCACCTTGAGTTGTGGTTTCGATTTGAAGAAGAAAAGAGAAGAGTTTGTTGCTATTTTCGACCCTAGCAAGTTTCTTGAATGGATCTCGAACTTAGAGGGTTTTAAGATACAAGATCATGAATTCATATGAGTTAAGAGGAGATTTTTGATAGAACAAAGAGTCTAGAGTGTGGATCCAAGCATCAACTTACCTAAGATGATGATTTTTGTGAAGAATCCTCCTTGCAAAGTCCTTAAATCTCAAAAATTTTGAAGGGAAAGTGAAGGGATTTGTGGTGTGTTCTTGAGAGTGTTTAAGTGAATGATTATGTGTGGGTGTGTGATACTCTCGGCCGAGAGTAATAGAAGAAGAGAGAGAGAGAGAAGTGAGAGGATATTCATGGATACATGTGAGATATGCTTGGATATCCCATAGGTATTAAGGAGGTGGCTAATCCTCCTTAATTCTCAAATTCTTTTTTTTTCTACTTGGACCGAGAGATAGAGGGGAGAGATGGAGACTTGGGCCTTTGGTGCTTAAATCCAAATCATGGGCCCATGTTGATTGTTTTTCGGCCCATTGGACTCCTAGGGTGCCTCATGGCCCAATTTGGTTCATTTAAATAATTTATTTCATTCTAGGCCCAATATGGCCCAACATGGTAAAATAAATGAAAGTGGGTCCAATTAGAGCCCATTTAAGAGTTCTAAGCCCAAGATGGTCAAATTGGAAGCTTATTGGTCCATTGGGCCCAATAAGGAAGTCCTAGTCCAAAATAGACTTAAACAAGGACTTCTAGGGTTTCCAATTGCTTGTTGACTATTTGTAGTGCTTGTATGATGTGTTTGATTGAAATTTTATTGTCATAGAGTATGCATCATACATGCTCTTGAGTCTTTGATTCACACTTTGGTTTAATTGTTGTAATCTACAAGGCACAAAAATTTCTAGGTTATGACAGTCAGGCTTGGGAGCCTGGTGAGCATATAGGGTTTTCAACCCACAATAATATAATTATTATATTTAATCATCAAACAATCAACCCAATTACTTATCCCCATTATCTTCCTTACTCTTAAGGGTCTACCCTAAGAATCATCTATTCGTTCACTCCGTATTAGGTACTAAGACAATAGCTGCCCAGATTCTTTATTGGGCACTAAGACAATAGCTGCCATGATTCTTTATTTGGCACTAAGACAATAGTTGCCAATGTTCTTTATTTGGCACTAAGACAGTAGCTGCCAGGGTTCTTTATTTGGCACTAAGACAGTAGCTGCCAGGGTTTTATTTGGCACTAAGACAGTAGCTGTCAGGGTTCTTTATTTGGCACTAAGATAATA